ATCATCATTATTGGATTTTCGGAGAATTTGGAAGAAAGAGGATGCTTTTTTGGTAAGAGCGATGTAGTAAGGAGGCCAGATGGAAGTGCGGGGACAGAGGATGCTTAGAAGAGCGTGTAATAGAGCATTTTGTGTTGGGTGGCGGTTGGGTAGCGAGTGCGATGAATCTGATGATTTGGTATCTTGATTTGGACTTGGAGCACGGTCGGCAAAGAAACATAGCAGGCAGAGAAGGACAGAAGAGGCAAATAAAGATAGATAGAAAGCGGGTGGGTGGAAGTGGAAGCTGGATCGTGGAAGGAGAAGCATAGTGTGGAGAAAGAAAAAGAAAGAAGAGAAGTCCACCGCTTCAACGCTTCTCCCTTATCGACCGGTCGCGACTCATATTAATTGGCAACATGACCGAGTGGTTAAGGTGTCAGATTCGAATAACCGACTCATCTGATCCTCTTTGAGGGCGCAGGTTCAAATCCTGCTGTTGTCGTCCTTTTGTTCTTCTTTGCCTTCGTTCCCCTTCCATATCGAGCGAAGCCATTGCCTTTTTGGGATAATTGCTCGCCGGTTTTGGAAAGATTGCCTAGCGCTCGGGTTGTAACTTTGCAATGGCCAATTCTAATCAGGCTGTTCCTTTGTCTGCAGGTCTGATATTTGATATTGATATCATAGTTGAAGCATCGAGCCGGATCGCTGGTGCCCCTTTTTCCAATAAAGTGCCAGTTATAGATGAACCTAATAGAGCAATGACCTCCATGGCATGGACCCGGTGATTGATGGGGTGGCGGGTGCGAAGTGACAGACATGTGCAGGCAAGAACGTGCCCTGAGATTAATGAGACTGGGAAATATGTAGATTGGATTCTGCGTTTTATTATTTCATACTTTTTAGGAGATGAAAGAAGCGCATGTAGCGGAGAGGATCTAGGGGACGAAGAGACACAGCGTAGACTGCGAGTGCGAGCGCGACCCTGAGGTGAGGGTGTTTCGCATCGATTGAAGAGGACGGGGTTCGATACCCGATGCAATGGCAATTAGCGGAAGAATGAACTTGACCATGTTCAGGAGAGGATAAGTATGGCGTGTGATATGAATGGCTGAGTGGTTCAACGCGATTGAGTTCGTGACACGAGTTGATCAATCGGGACGCCTGCTTCGCGGGAGCCAGATTCAGAAAAAGAAAGAAAGAAAGAAAGAAAGAAAGAAGAAAGAAAGAAACGTGTATCTAGAGTGTATAGCCTTGTATGCAGGAATGCACAGTCAGTGATCGACTTAAAGCCCCCGGAAGCAAATGGGATCTGCCTTGGCGGAAAAGGAAATAGTGGACTGATTACGTGATGCCATATATGGACGGGCGCCTTGGAGTTTGGACGAGCGGTCGCAGGTGATGCAGCATGGCCTCCCACCACAACAACGACAGAAAGTACCTCCAAAAGTACAACGATCTCAAGCAGAAAGTTAAGGAAATAGAGCAGGTGAGCACTTCCCCAATTCTCCAGCTCAAGCTCACCTCCGCACAGGACAATGAACGTCTCCAAATCAAAGTGCTCAAGACGAAAAGAAACATCCAACGTCTCCGCATAGAACGCTCGTATGTCTCTTCATTATATCCCCGCGATCCAATTTTCACGCGTTCATAGCATTCTCTATGAACGTCTCCAGTCTATGCCCCCGCCAGATGCACACCTCCCTCCCCCTCAGCCCCCATATCCCTACCACCCAGAGCAGGTCCCCCCGCATGCCTACCCACAAGACATCCACCACGCCCCGCCTCCACCACACTCCGCAGAGAAGGACAGGCGCCGTCTTGACCCACCCCGCGGCCACCCCGACGCGCTTCCATACCCAATTAGTCGTCCTCCGTCGCCCCCGCGCCACCACCCCTCCCACTATCCCCCCGCTCCGCCCCATATGCAAATGGACATTGACTCCCGTTCTCGTAGACACCCCGGGCCGCATACCCCACCTTCCCTTCCTCCTCCTCAGACACCCCAGTACCCCCCTCACGTAGAGGACCACCACCATTATCCCCCTCCCCGACGCGACCTCGGCGGGCCAGGTCTCCCCCCTATGCGCACCCACCCCGACGTACCTCCTCCACCTCATAACGGATATGCCTCACACCCCATGCATCCCCCCGGGCCCTACGCAGACGACCGCGCCGCCTGGGAGCGTGACCGCGATCGAGAACGCGAACGTGAACGTGAATATTATCCCCCCATACGCGAGCGAGATCCCATCCCGAACGGAGCAGGCTACCGCGACCCTGGGCCCTCGCATCGCTATGACGTCCCTCCCCCTTCGCATCCACTTCCACCACAAAACGGGAACAACTCACCCGAAGCGATGTATGGTCGGCCACGAGGCGGGTCCCAGAGCTATGTCCGTGGCGAATATCCGCCTCCCGGGCCTCCACCTCCGCCTCATGCCTACCCTGGGGATTATGGGCCCTCGGAGTCGCATGCGCGAAGGAGAAGTTTTGCGGAAATGTCCGATGAGAGGACTGCGTTGCCGGACCCGCATGCGCCGCCGCATAAGACGCAGAGGAGAGGGTCGATGGATGATTATGCGGAGAGGGAGGTGAGGCGGCGAGACAGAGACCGCGATCGAGACGAGGCGATTCCGAGGGTGCGGGAAGGAGATGCGATGGAATAGAAGATTCTGTGCTTAAACGTAATTGGTGCTTTATTGCTTGCTTATCCCGAGGACTGTTTATTGCCTCATTTACGTGTACCTTTCGACTCCACACGCTCTTTTGGTCTCCATGTTGTTGACATTGCCATTGCTGTTTAGTTACCCTTGTTCTGTGTTCTGTGCCACCTATCCGCAGACGAGTGTTGTAATTTATGCTGTATCACTGCAGTCACGGTTGTTAAATAAATGCTGGTATTTCTGGGTTTTAGAGTTTCTTTTATTGTTTATTCGTGGGACCCTGGCCAAAGCGTGATTCGATAGGGGTGAGACATGACCTTACACCTTTGCCTTTTACCACTACGTTCCCTCTGCTCAACGGAATGCTGGATAGCAATGGTCCAGGCATAGGTGAACGAACGGTATAATTTATGTAAATGCAGCAGTATAACGTAAAGCAAGTACAAAAATAATATAAAGAATGTATGTAATTCAATTTGAATCAGTAGTAAGTATTGTTATAGTCCGTATATAATGTCCGTGCTAACTAGAAGCAAACGCAAAAACACCCATAGGAATAAAATAGAAATAGAAATAGGAGGCTAGAAGAGAAGAATGATACAACAGAAAGCATATCATACACACATAATCCATTCTCTATAAGGACACGGAAAGATATATAACCCGCATTCTACAACTCACCCCTCCTCAAACCCTAGTAACGAAATGCACTCAACGGCCTCCTGGTCTACCCATCATGTCAAGTTGCACAGGTGGCCTAACAGGCTCGATATCCGACGCTGTACCCTCTTGTGAATATGCGGAAGGCGCGGTACTAGTGAGCATGGAGACTGAAGAACGGTCTCCTGATTGACGCATCGCGGAGGGTGGAACGGATAGGCCGTGGGTTATAGCGGTGGCGGGAGGAGAAGGAGGAGGGACTTGCGGTGCGGGAGGGATGACGGATGAGGGGAACTGCTTCGTGGATGTGGATGTTCGGCGGGCTGAACGCGGGAAGGTGGATGCGGGTGGTGGGGAGGGCGGCATTGGGGTGGAGGATGCGACTGCGAGGGTGAGGCTGGTTTGGGAGGGGGAGCTTATGTGTACTGTGAGAGGCGTTGATCCTGTCCTGGCCGCCATTTGCGCTTGACTTGGGCTTGGGCCTTGACCTTGGTATTGCGCTTGGGTCTGCTGGATCACCTCCGAAGCTACAGCACTTGGCGCGGAATTCCTCCTCCCTCCCCTCATGTTGGGCTTTACATTCAAAAGCGCACCCCCAGACCCTGTATATCCCGGCCCTACCCCTTGTCCCTGCCCGTTTGGCGTAGGCGACCTTGAGTACATCGAAGGTGATGGACTTCTCATACTCGCCCGTCTCCCAATCGACTGTGACGGTGTCGAGCCCTGCGCAAGCGGCGAAGGCCTAGCGGGCGCATAAGCCCTCTCCGCACTAAGTGATCTCCTCCCTCCATTCCTCAGCGCACTCTTCGGCAAAGGCGTAGGAGCCCCACCCATTCCGACCCCGGTGCCTATTACCCTGCCTCTATCTTCCCCGGGGGGTCCACTGCGTAATGAGCTAGAAGGTGACGGCGTTCCCGGTTTGGAG